TTGTGACCGTTTGGGGGCATTTTTAATTTGTTTTTTAATAAATTTTTGGGGTAAATCCACCAAATTTGGGGCAATTCGAGGCATTTTGGGGATTTTATTTTGAATTTTGCTATTTTTTTATTTTGAATGTTATTTGAATTTTTGGTAACAAACATTTTGGAGGCAATCGGGACGTTTCGAATGGGATTTTTACAGCGATTTTGGGTGAATTTGTGACCGTTTGGGGGCATTTTTAGTTTGTTTTTTTTTAAATTTTTGGGGCAAATCCACCAAATTTGGGGCAATTCGAGGCATTTTCCAACGGGATTTTTTTTTTACAGCAGCCTTACTTTAGGGTTTCAATTGGAAACCAATGATTTTGGGTGAATTTGTGACCGTTTGGGGCATTTTTAATTTGTTTTTTAATAAATTTTTGGGGCAAATCCACCAAATTTGGGGCAATTCGAGGCATTTTGGGTATTTAATTTTGAATTTTGCTGAGTTGGTAACAAACATTTTGGAGGCAATCGGGACATTTCCAACGGGATTTTTACAGCGATTTTGGGTGAATTTGCGGCCGTTTGGGGGCATTTTTAATTTGTTTTTTTTTAAATTTTTGGGGTAAATCCACCAAATTTGGGGCAATTCGAGGCATTTTGGGGATTTTATTTTGAATTTTGCTGTGTCGATAACAAACATTTTGGAGGCAATCGGGACATTTCCAACGGGATTTTTACAGCGATTTTGGGTGAATTTGTGACCATTTGGGGGCATTTTTAATTTGTTTTTTTTAAATTTTTGGGGTAAATCCACCAAATTTGGGGCAATTCGAGGCATTTTGGGTATTTTATTTTGAATTTTAGTGGGTTGGCAACAAACATTTTGGAGGCAATCGGGACATTTCCAACAGGATTTTTACAGCGATTTTGGGTGAATTTGTGACCGTTTGGGGGCATTTTTAGTTTGTTTTTTTTAAATTTTTGGGGTAAATCCACCAAATTTGGGGCAGTTTGAGGCATTCTGGGTATTTTATTTTGAATTTTGCTGCGTCGCTAAGGGACGTTTTGGAGGCAATCGGGACGTTTCCAACGGGATTTTTACAGCGATTTTGGGTGAATTTGTGACCATTTGGGGGCATTTTTAGTTTGTTTTTTTTTAAATTTTTGGGGTAAATCCACCAAATTTGGGGCAGTTTGAGGCATTTTGGGGATTTTATTTTGAATTTTGCTATTTCTTTATTTTGAATTTGATTCGAATTTTTGGTAACAAACATTTTGGAGGCAATCGGGACATTTCCAACGGGATTTTTACAGCGATTTTGGGTGAATTTGTGACCATTTCGAGGGTTTTTTTTTGGGGCTGGCGGGGAGGGATTTTTGGGGTGAAAAAGGGGGATTTTGGCTCCGTACCCCACGTATTTGTAGCCGGCGAAGGCCAGGAGGTCGATGGGGGTGAGGTCGGTGCTGACGGTGACCAGGTAGAGGCTCAGCAGGACGCTCAGCACCTCCAGCAGCAGCCAGGCCAGCGCCGAGCTGGCCACCAGCCCCAGGCTGTCCGGGGAAAACCTGGAATTTCACCCCAAAAAAATCCAGGATTTGGGGGGAGAAACATCGGGAAAAAAAC